CCCAATGAAGCGATACAATGTTCGTTTCCAGGAAAATTAGTTAAGTACTTATTTTAGCATCATAAAAAGGACATAACTTCTTCATACGATCTCTGCTTCCGACGTTCTTTATATCTACGAAGTCTGAGAACATAATCTATCCAATTTCATCATCTATGTCTCCCAAGTACACTCAATGCATAAATTTTATTTTTATCGCATTAAACAATTCTTATTTTTATGAATTGTTTTTTGTTTGTCAACGATCATCAACTTCTCGAGAAAACTGAGGTAATATGTGCGTAATTATGAGTAACATAACTTCTATTGCATTAAAAAAAATAGAACAACATAGAATAGATGTTTTTATAATGGGGTTCGCGGTGGTTTGACCAGTGAACTTTGACCTATTTTTACCAATTCTTACATAGCTCACCACGTCGTTGCATCGAGTTTTCATATGTGCCCTCCAAGTTCTCCATGCAGATCATCTAGGAAGCTTCTACAGTTGACATGTCACCACATCATGGCATGCATATGACCATGATGTGGCAACCATTTTTTTGCATGATTTCTTCCTTATGATGAATGCTTCATGTCTCCAAGTCTCAAGTTCTTAATAAATAACCAAAATGTAGCTAAATGCACTAAAATATTGCATATAATATGTTATTAAATATATAAATATCACAAGTTCTTCACTAGTACTAGGACATTGGGTTTTACTCAAAATCGTGTCACATTGCATAGGTGCAAATCCTTTCTTGGAGTCTTTCATCTTGAATTTCTTCCAGATTTTATCTAAGTGTATATTTTGGAAAAGTCCTATCAGTCGCCTAAACATATCCCTATAGATCTTAATACAAAGTATGTAAGCAACTTCTTCCAAATTCTTCATACCGAAACTTTTCTCAAGCCAATTTTTTACATTATTTAATGTTGGGATGTCATTTCCTATAAGAAGAATGTCACCGACATTGTAACATCCCAAAATTACTAAGTAAAATTTTCACTTTTCAACAACCAAAATATGCAATCACTTGTTCAAAAGACAATCAGAGTATAGTGTATTCTCAAACATTAGAGTAAAAATTATAAATCAATAACGTGAAAATAAAACTCTAGGGGATGTAATGCGATCAAGTCGAACCATTCCCTTTGGAACCAAAAGTACCTGAAACATTTAAAACATGAAACCGTAAGCACATAGTTTAGTGAGTTCCCCAAAATAACACATACCATACATAATAATGTGCACCGTCCTAGGGCTATATTTCAACCCATGTGTAACACCCCGTTTTGACCCTTAGATAGGATTTAATATAAATCTTTTGTTTATAAATTCAAAGTAAAAATATATTACTTTTTAGCCAAATAATCATCATAAACGTGTAGTAGACGTCGATACGATTTCTGTAGATATATAGAACGATTAATCTGACTTCGTATGAAGAAGTTATGATTATTTGAAGTTTTGTGTTCAACCCAATAGGGCAAAACTGTGTCGTAAAAAGTGAATCGGAGAGAGGTTGCTTATTAGTTTAAGTAATATAAATGAAAGTCATAGAATTTGTAAAAGCGAGAGCGTACATATAAAGAATGTCTTAATCTGACTTCATATGAGGAGGTTATGATTTTTCGAAGTTTCAGCACAACAGTGTGTGACACAGAAACCGAAATTAAAATCGGTCGATTGTTAGGCAAAACAATCTAAACAAGATTCGAAGATATCATAAACACCAATCCGTCGATATAAAGACAGTCGAGAACAGATGTCATATGAAAGAGTTATGATTTTTATACGGACTTTAACAGTCTAAGACTGTTAAAAATATAACTTTAAAAATAAAGTAAGAATTAGTCGACAAAGTTTAAATGAAAGTTGTACTTGTAAGGTCACACCTTATGATCTGAAGAGTCAAACACATAACAAGCAGATCTATCTGCGTCAGCGTCTACAAGTCGACAACGCGAGCATCACAAGTTTAACAACGTCAGCTTATAGTATAGTTGTCCGATTGTAATCTTGTGTATATTAGGCAGTTGTTATAGATAAATATAGAATAGATATAAGATCTCGTATCTTTATGTCCGTCATCATGAGATATACATGTATAGAGTAGTATATATACAACATTAGGGCAAACCCTAATGTTGTGGTCTAGTAATTTTGTTTATAGCTTTGTGTCAATTGTCTTTGTGACAAACCCGTCTTCTTAGTGAAGACAAAACATCTTTTCTTGGTGAAAGGAACATTTGGAGAACTCCTATGTTATTTACTTTCTGTTGAATATTTTGCTTAGATTAATTTTGCTTTTCTTATTCATACTTGAAGTGTATCCGATCAAATAAAAACCTTCAATTGGTATCAGAGCCAGGTTTATGATACACTCAAGTAATCATGTCGTCTTCCTTAGTTCCTAAGTCATCTGTTTGTAACAAGATTCCTCCGTTTGACCGTTACAACTTCTCTGATTGGAAATCAAAGGCCATGAATGTTCTAGAGTTCATGGATTTCGATATACTCGATGTTGTCAACAAAGGTCCTATAGCTGCTTCACATCAATCATCAAATAATGGTGCATTTGGCAGTAAGCTAAAAGGGAAGTCTTTTCCCTGTTATAGCAAGGAAGAGAAAAGGATGTTGAATGTCTTAGACAGCTACGCCACCCATGTTTTGTTTCCTTGTAGTGGAAACAAATTACCTCTTTATCTTCTTCATGTTGTAGTTTAATACAAACTTACCATATGAAGTATGAACTACTCAGCAAGTTGGTGATAAAATCTAGGGTCAACTCCGGACTTATAGGAAAACCTATGCTCATTAATTATTTAATGTACGCCTTTATTTTAGGAGGTGGACATCGATGCTATCTCCCTCTTACAACTTGCATCTCACTAAGAATTTCGTGATCTTAAATCGCTCTTGCCTAACCAGCTCTCGGAACAAGTCCTTAAATCAGTTGATCATATCATACACACCAAGATGTTTCATGTTATTTTGAAGCTAATGAATCACCATGACTAGCATGAGGCATGATTATTGTGAATAATTTACGTATCTTAAAGTTGAATCTTGATGTTAACATAACATTCAATGAGTAATGACAAAATATTAATAAACAAACATTAAAAACCCAATTATTTCATATGTAATAACTAAACAAACACACTTCTAATCATTTTTCTTGAATTTAAATCTCATTATTAAATAATTCATGAGATAAATAACCTCCTAACACACATTTTAATGTTTGTTGTTGGGGTCTAGGCTCTTAATATTGTTAGAGATTTGGGGTATGATAATACTTGGAATTCTGAAAACCATGATGACACTTTCAAATTGAAGTATTTCGATGGTCCTCTCGAAATCAACAATTGGATAAGACTTAGAATGAAAGAAACAATAATAGAAAATGAGAGATTCTGAATTTCGTATGTGTACCAAAAATGATGACAAAAAACTGTTATATTCCTCTTTGTCTGGAAACTGTCACAAAACAGTTTTCTATGTCCCAAAACTGCCAAAACTGTGACAAGACAGTTTCTAACAGTTACAATCTGTCACAAAAACAGGATTTCTATAAGTGTCAAGACAAAGTAAAAACCGGGTTCATTTTCAAGAATTCGGATTTTTGATGCATTTTTAACAAAACAATATAACCCAAATAAATAATGTCTGAAAATTGTCACAAAAACAACTCGACCCCAGGGGCTCTGCCCCTTTGATCCAATTTTCAGGGGTGCTGCCCCAGATCCTTGTTCGTTTAGGGGTTTCGCCCTAAATGACAATCTGCTTTGAATCTTGAACAAACTCAAACAAATGTGCACTTCGCACCTCCCTTACTTGTTTAATGTTTATCAAGATTATATTTGGTCAACAAATCAATCCATTACACTTAAATACATATTGGTAACACAAATGACCAACAAATATTCAAGGCTCCTTTAAAATTTAACTTAAACATTTTCTTATCCAATATGTCCAAATTGAAAATATACAATTATGTATGTTGTGTTTACATGTGTAACAACCAAACACATAATGTTTTAGATTTTTTTATGTCGGATCTTAATATCGTCTCTTCAAAATTCACATTTATATGTTACGTGACTATACATTATGCGACAACCTTGATCTTTTTCGACTTTATTTACATTAAACATGAATAAAGAAACGGGCCCAAACATTTTAAAGAACAAAAAAGGTAAAGTTGATAAAAGTGGCGTGACTATCGGTGATACACTGATACTTGAGTTATTAATCGAATTTATATTAGCTGAGAATTACACTACTCTTTGGTTTGGAGTTTGGATTCTTTGATGGAAATAATATAGGATATTAAATCAAGATTCATCTAAATAATTGTATCCAAATTCTAAACATCATTTATCTAATATAATGTAAAAGTAATTATCTTGAAAATACTTATGTATTAACTTAAATATTTGTGTAATCTTTGTTTAAATGATTAAATTCAAGAAAACTATTCAACCCATCCAACCTTTACCTTATCTTAAAGAATAAAATACCTAAATGTCATTTTACATTTTTCAAAAGTTTTATGGATTTTTTTGTCACAGCATTTCTATATAAATAAAGCGATAATTTTCATCTTTCGGTTACTCCCAGTTTCAAACTATCAGTGAATTTTGTGATAGTAAACTAAATTGGAATATTTTGGCGTCCAGAATACCATAAACACTTGTTAAGGTGTTTTAGGAATGCAGAAAGTATAAAGTGATAGTATATGAAATGATAGTCTCAATATATTCTTTCCCTCCCTTTCTTTCAAACCTCCCGCACGCCTTTACATACGCCTTAATCACTTTCTTCTATTTTCTATCCCCTCCCCCATAACTTTACACCACCAAAGCAGCCACAACTACTCACCTCTACCATTAATCTCTTCATTCTTTTCTTAATATATAATTACTTCATGATTCCCACTACTTCCTTCTCTTGTTATTATACTTCAATGGGTTTTTAATTCCGTTGTTGATTTTCAACCTTCGATTTGATGGGTTACCTCTCTTGTAATGCCGAATCCGCCATTTCCACCTGCGATTCTTACAATTTGTCCAGGAAGAAATCCTTTTCCAATCCACATAATCACCAGTTTAAGATTAGGGATTTCTGTTTTGCAGATCTCGAAGCGTCTACCAAGGGATTCTCACACACCAATTTCCTTGGGAAAGGAAGCCATGGCTCTGTGTATAGAGCCATCCTTGACGGTGGTGCTTTGATTGCCGCCGTTAAACGAACCACCACTCACCACTCGCCGGATAAAACCAGTGTTCGCGGAATACAATGTACTGCAACTATCGCCACTCCAGCGGAGAACGAGATCGAGACGCTGTCTCGCGTTCGGAGCCCTAGATTGGTGAATTTGTTAGGGTTTGGGTCGGATCCTGTTGACGGAAGGAAGCTGATTGTTGTGGAGTACATGCCCAACGGTTCGCTATACGATTTGCTACACAAGAACGACGCCAAAACCCCCGGGTTAGCCAGGCGAGTGAGGATAGCAGTTCAGGTTGCGAAGGCGGTTCACCATTTGCATACCTCCAATCCGCCGGTGATTCACCGGGATATAAAATCGTCCAACGTTTTGTTCGACGGAAAATGGAACGCACGGCTCGGCGATTTCGGTTTGGCTCTGAGAGGAAACGTGGAGGACGTGAAGGTCCGATGCACACCGCCGGCGGGGACGTTAGGTTACCTTGATCCATGCTATCTTGCGCCGGGCGATCTGAGTGCGAAAAGCGATGTCTTCAGTTTTGGTATTCTTTTACTCGAGATCTTCTCCGGCCGAAACGCGATTGACCTAAAGTACAGTCCGCCGTCGGTGGTGGATTGGGCAGCGCCGCTAATAAGATCGGGTGCATACGGCGAGATATTTGATCCGAACATTGAGATATCATCCGATGAGTCCGCCGTGAGGCAGCTGGCGGTGTTGGCGGCGAGGTGTGTGAAATCAACCGCGGAGAAACGGCCGGCGATGGCGGAGGTTTTGCAGTGTTTGGTAACCGCAAGTAAGCGAATAACATCGCTAACATGGAACAATCTCGGCCTCGCACGGCCGCGCGTGAGGAGATCGTGTCCGCCGTCTATTAAATACGAGCCATTGATTGAGAGTCCCGAGGCAGTCAAAGCATCGAGGGCTTCGGCTTCCGCTTCGGCATCCAGGAGAAGAACCAAGAAAGGTGCCACAAGCGTGCCATTAAAATTAAAAAACAAATCCAACGACCTTGATGAAACCGATTCAAGTCACGTGTCAAGATCTAAATCGATAGGGTCATTTCACGATATTACATCTCTACCGTCGGATTCGAGTTTGGGGAGGAAAAAGGGAGGGCCAGGATTGAGTGTAACAATGAACAGGTCAAAGTCAACAGGGGAATTGACAGGATTGGTTTGCAAAAGAAATTGTGGAATTGTGTTGCAAATGATTAGAAATCCAAATATTAGAGAACTGGAATCATCAAAATTACTTGTCAAATTCAGCAAATTTTAATTTAAAAGTGGTGTATATTAACAAGGGTATTTTTAAGAAAAGGGAATTTTTTTTATATACCATTCAACTAATTGTGCAACTTTCTAGACTTAGGTGCTGTTTGTTTTTGTAAAAAATCTCTTTAGACCTTTTATTTTTTGTGCGGCCCAGCACACAAGCAACATTTTTAATTTCGCAGTTGTTTATTACTTAGAAGTTTTCAGAGTTAAAAACTTCTGCGCGTGTTTTGTTTGGCGCAACACTTGTATTGTCTTTTTCAACATCTTCCAATCTTTCATTCTTCTTTTTTTTGCTGAAATCTTGATTATATGTTGTTGAAATCTTATTTTTACATTTTTTTTGATTTTTTTTTTTGTTTATTCTTGTTGATTTTTTTCATTTTTTTATATTGAATCATGATAATTTTTGGATGAAATATCATTATTTTTTGCTAAAATATCTTTATTTTTTTGTTGAAATGTGATTATTTTTTGCAGAAATATCATAAATTATTGTTGAAATGTCATACATTATTAAATTTTCGATATTAAAAAACTATTTTTTGTTTATAAAATCAGATTATTTTAATTTTTTAATATCTACAGCAGCATGCAGATGTTAAAAAAAAAACAAAAAAACAAACACACTTCTCATTACACTTTTAAATTAGTAGTACATTCCCTCGTTAAATGTTTTTTTTTTTTTTTTGTCTTTTAGTAGTTTTTTTTAACTTGAAATTAAGAAAGTCATTTATTTGAAATCATAATGAAAGCAAAACCGCTTAAAAATACTTATGTTCCATTTTAAATGCCATATAGAACGAAAATTTAAATGACAAGAAGATAATTTAACAAAAGTAAATTATAGACTAGAAAATGTTCACACCTCGCTTCGCGGGGGACATAAATGGGGTGCGCGGTAGGCATAATTTCCAAATTTTCTGTCGGGTAGGGTTCATTATTGTAATTTTTTAAACACATGTGAAAAACTACAAAGAGACCTTTTCTGTAAAAAATTTGTAATTTATTTTTTACATAGGCCAAACCTGTCAACATATAGAAATCTTAAATATATGTACTGTTTATGTAAAAAAAATAACTTTGCAGGTACCTTTTCTGCCCAATACAAAATTTTAGGGACTAAAGCTTGCAAAATTCAAAACTTAAAGATATGAACTTTCAAATTAATATATAGTATAATAGTCCATTTAGTTTGGTTAAAATATTTTTGTCTAACATTTGAAAAGTTGATTGATTTTGTCCAAGTGGTTTCAAAAAAATTACATTGTTGCTCTCTTTTGGTGGACGATGTTAAGAATCAGCGTTAAGTATTAGAAATTGACTAATTAAACTTTTTTTTTCTTTTGTACTTTTAAATAAATTACAAAAAAATCATATATCACGAAATAACCTTATTCCCATTCTTATCGTCACGCCCATAACCTTTCACATACCAATATGGTTTCTAGTTGGTGTTTGTACATCAAATCACATAAAATTTAGGTTGGAAATTGTCTATTTTGCTTAAATGGATAACAAATTTTGTCACTTCCTCATTTCGTTCAAATTTTTAGTTCGTGTTTTTACATGAAATTGCATAAGATGTTTGGTATCTATTTTTTTTGGTTCATGTTTGTACAACAAATCATTTAAGAATTCTAGCTTTTTGGTTGTAGTTAGATTTAAAGAAGTCCATAGCATTCACATCCAGATTGTGTAGATGTGGGTGTTTTATTCAATCATACCAATTAGAGAAGTAAGTTAAAGATCATATGAGGGAGTTGGGGATGACCAACTTGAGGAATTGCAAGAGATGACCTGATAGAGTTGCTACATGACCGATGGGAAAGGGGTTGGGTTAGAATGTTTTGTTGGGCCGTTTAATAAACATTAAAAAGAAAAAATAGAAACATAAAATATAAAAAAATAAATAAATATCAAATTGTCATTTTAAGAGTTTATAATGACGATTTTATAATGGAGTCACATAATGCAATATTCATATATTCATATATTATATTTACATATGGATATTACTTCTTTTCTTTTCGTCGTATCGGTACGTCGGAACACCGGAGCGGCAATGAATAGATATGTGGTCCATATATATATATATATATATATATATATATATATATATATATATATATATATATATATATATATATATATATATATATGTGTGTGTGTATAAAAGTTCATTTGAGAACAGGGGTGTAACATCTTATTTTTGGGCATAGAAGTTTGAGACTTTTGGTAAAATAATTTTTTTAAATAAAATAAAATAACAAAAAGTTAGTGAATAAAAAATAAAAATAATAATATATATAATATTAATCAAGGTTCTAAATAACGTAAGGCGTGACTTGGCGGCAATGTCAAGCCTCAAGCTTTTCCGAGCATTGGCGAGCCACATCGTTTGTAAGACGTGACTTAAGGCGACAATTTTGTATATAATTAATATTTTTATATGTACTTTTAACTATTATTTATTTTTATACACATATATGAGTTAAGGCGACGTTTTGGTAAAGTTTGGCGACAGATACAAGCATTGGAGTCATGGCGAGCTTTTTAGAACCTTGATATTAATCAAAATTTATTCGCTAGTTGATATTTAGAAAATAATAGAATTGTAGTGTGGAAAGAATCGTCAAGTAATAAGGGGTAAAATATGACAACTTGACAAAACTTATGTTTGACTAGAGAGTTGACCAATTAAGTGGTTAGGACTAAGTTTGTATAAGTTATTGTCGGGATGGACCTTGTGTGACTTATTCCTAAGTTGCTAGTTAGTTTGGGAGCCACCATGTAAGAAGCTTTGTAAAGAGGGGCTTAATTTGCCAATATTGTAAAAGATGTGTGATACGTGAACCCACCCTCTTATTTTCCTCCATTAATCTGAATTAGCCTCTCCTTTCTTCCATGGACGATTTTAATCTCCAACAACATGAAAATTGATGCTTAAAGTTGTTGGTTGAAGTCTTCATCAAAAATTATGTTGATAATCTAGCTTTTAGAGGTATCATTCTTATAATTACCATTCTAACTTTTATTCTAGAATATTGGGGGTTTTAGTAAACTCGAATTCCCCTTTCAATTATTGAGTTCATATGAGTTTTGTATTGTGTTTCCACTCATATATCCATCTTCAATCTACAATTAAGAAATAGTTGTAGATTTTGAGATTTGGTGTTGTTTACTGGGTTCTCAAACCCTATATTACACCCCAGTCGGCGGCGAAATCAACAAACGATGAGACGACATTATGGATCACAGTATTAAGCATACATTGAACAATACAACAATATGAAAGGAAATAAATACTTTTTTTGAATTTAAAAGAGTAGATTACAATATCCCCTAATCTAGGGTACATAAATATTGAGAGTACATGAAATTTGAGATAATACTAAAAGGCTTGAATAGTAGGCTAAAATGAAGGTACATATAAAAAGACTGTGATCCCATGATTGTTCTTAGTATAGGTCTTCCAAATGCTTATGTAACATCCGGTTTGCAAGTATTTACATTTGTGGTCCTTGTTTCAAAAATTGTTGCATTTTTAGCCCATACGCTAGGTGTACGTGAGGTAAACGCAACGTACCTGATCGAGACTTGGAACGCGGGATTTTCCCTAGTACATTGGGTGTACTAGTCCATACCTTAAACCCTAAATTAGGGTTTTTTCCCTATTTAAACAACCTTATATATCCCTTGGACTATCTAGAGTCAGCCTCCACTCCTTCCGTACCCTAATCTCGAGTCTCATCCTTATGTGTGAAGATTTTTAAATCTTTTGGTGATTTTGGTGCTTTCTTGTTAAAGATGAAGGCCATTGAAGAAGGTGGTGTTGCATGCAAGCTTGTAGATCCAGAAACTACCTCACCTTGTGCATCTTTTGAAGGTATAAAGTCCATACCTTGTAAATGTTCTTTATAGATCACTTTAGATGGGTATTTATGAGCTTTTTGTCTCAAAGCTTGGACCTTTGTGAGTATGGGTTACTCCAGATCTTTTTTGAATGTCCTTTTAGATGTTTGGAAGTGCCTTGATTCATAAAAATGGTTGCTTGATCGTTTGCTTTGGCTCATGCATGAGTTAAGTGACTTTTAGTGTTGTAAAAGTTAAGGTTTTGTGTTTTGAGCCCTATCTACCCATGTAAAGGTTTAAAGTCAGTGACTTTATGGGTTAAGACATTCTATAGTGGTCAGATCTGATGTTGGATTAAGTGTCTTAAAGGATTAAGACATAAACGTTGGAGACTTGGGACCAAGCAGAGTACATTGGGCGTACTCCTGGCTACCCCCGTGTAGCCAGGTCCGTCCAGTTTTCACTGATCCGAGATGTACGCCCCACGTAGGAAGAGTACGCCCTGCGTACGGACCGAGAGGGTTGACTGGTTGACTTTTGCTGACTTTTTGACTTTTGATCAAAGGATTTAGGATTTTGGACCATGGAAGGGCAGAATTGTCTTTTTGCCCTTCAGGGGCGTAGTTGTGAGATTTGGACCGTGAGTCGGGTTATGATCTTAATTGACTAGGGTTACTTGAAACATGCTCAAGATCAGAGTCTCCCAAAATCATAAGTCAAAACATGAGGATGTGTACGGTCACGCCTTCTCCTTCCCGCGATCATCCGAAGTACCTGAAACATAACCCAAAACTGTAAGCCAACGCTTAGTGAGTTTCCCAAAATACCAACACATAACAAAATAACATAAATATACAATAACAACATGCAATGGGTCCACGGCTAAAAGTCTGGATTACCCCTGAGCCCACATCATAAGTCTGGCTTGCCCTCGGGGCCCACAACTTATGCCTGGCTTGCTCCTCGACCAGATCATTCCTTGGACTGAATACCATCAAGCCCTCAGTACGAGTCTGGCATACTCTACCCGACCCTCAGCTCGTATTTGGAATGCTCATGAGCCCTCAGTATGAGTATGACATGCCCTACCCAGCCCTCAGCTCATATATGGAATGCTCCAGGGTTTGTTGGCTACCGCACGAAGCAGTA